GTCAACAGCAATGATGGACGAAGTCAGTGGAAAAGGTGTGATCAAGAGTTTATATTACACAGGCTTCCAAAATAAGGGTACAGCCTTCTAGATAGCACAACACATAGAGTCTAAGTATTTTTTCACTGAAGCTGATGACACTTCTTGTGGGTGACCAAGACAGGTATAGGAGGCCCAAGTCCCCATTTGTGTCTACGTGTGTGAATTGGGAGCAGCTCCATTACTCATCATATGCTGTGCTCTTTGCAAAATCTATTCATTGTGTCCTGCTAAATGCTGCAGGACGTTGATCATTTTTGTCAAAACTTGGCTCCCGTGCAGTTTCTTAGTCTAAATGGTGGGCGGGAGGGATGTGTTTAACTTTTGGCTTGAAAGAAAGAAAGTAAAAAATCCGGACCCTTTCAAGAGCGCTGAACAGTTCAGAAATCTGGCCCTAAGCTTTTCTGAAAGTGACCCAATCTATCTAGTTATTACACCATTCTCTTGCCTATGACTAACACATGGCTTGATATTTACTTGCAGGAAAAGCTGGCGAGGGATGGGGGTTCCCATTCACTCGTGCTGTTTACCGCTCCCCTGAGATCACAGGCTTCAGCGACGATGGAGCAGATCACTTCACAGGTGCACGGTTTATACACCAAAATGGGTTGTAAATCAGAACAGAGGAAGAAAAGGCTGGAAGAATGCTTGTTTGTAGAGGTGACCATTGGAAAGGGATGCTGACTGTGTTCATTTTACAGGTCTCATCTCCTAAGTCTATACTTCCTCACACTGCACCAGAGGGATTGGGTCCCAGGTCAGAAACCCAAGGAGCACGGCAATAATTTGCCAGAGATTACACAGGGAGTGAACTTGTCCCTGATCTCCATTATTGGTTCAAAACCAGGAATTCTCGTACCCTTTTGGACAGATGGCTGGTCCTATTACTTCTTATGTTAGATTTCCCATTGAGGTTGAAAGCAAATCCACAGTCAAGCTGAAAGTAAACAACCTGCGAATTCAAAAGGCATTAACTCGAACTGCCAAAGCATTTGCTGCGTTTGCTGCAGATGTCAAATAGACAGTTTCCCACAGCCCTAAGCCTAGACACATAACTAAGTTACACAGCGAAACCTTCCACCCAGCCTGAAAATCCGTCCTGTGCAAAACTCGCTCTCCTCGCTGGTGTTTTAAAGGCTGCAGCCTCAGCTGGAGTGAATTAATGTATTCGCTCTGATTTGAATAGAGCTACGCCAATTTATACCAGATGAGGATTTCACCCTTTGGAGGTTAGGTGGGAAATGGCTATCCACTAGGTTTTTTAACAGTGTGGTTTGAGAAAAAAATAAAATGTGGTGTATTTTAAAGACTGAAAGAGCACTAAGTAAGTTTCTTTACATTTCTATGATTAATTTCTTAAGAAACCTATTACAAAGCTTGGTCCCAAAGAAGCAGGCTTTGTAGAAAAAAAGTATATAAATAACACAATTTATAAACAAAAGCAACACATGTTACCCAACTTGTTCCGATTCCTGATAGCTTCCAAAATGCCAACAAAAAGTTAACTAGAAACCCAAGCACGACATTGCTGTGGTATTGCAGGAAATTCAGAAAGTGGAAAGAACTGAATAAACCAGTCTGTTTTTTCCTGCCAGGGCTGAATGAAGAGGACAAAAAACACAAAACCAAACCATACGAACAAAAAAACCCACCCGTATGCTTTGAAATGCTCTGATCATTAGTACCATGGCGTGCTTCTCAGCCATAAAGATGAGCAAGACTATTTTTCTAACATATTTTGCTGCAAATTCCAAACAGTATCACCGAAGTCATGTTCTGTAAATCAGGATTCACTCCATTGAAAGTAACATAACCTCATGGTATAAATTCAGGAAAGATTACCAGAATTAAGCCTATGATTTATTCTTTAGTATAGGAGACTCGACTCACAGACTCAGATGTGCCTTGATTTTCCCTAAAGTAAACTGGAGGTCAAACATTACATCAATAGAAAAGACTGGAGATTTTTAAGATGATGGTAATGGGAAATCAAACCGGTAAACTGTTTAACTTAAAGCCACCAGACTGATGCAGCTTATCAGAAAATTCACCTCCTCTTTCCTCCAGCCATCCTTATTTTTGCTTTACAATTCAGTGTAAGCTGGTAATTAGTAATACTTTGTCTGTTTATAGAGCCTTCCATCTGAGGATCTAGAAACACTTTGTAAACACTAATGAATTAAGCTTCTTAACACCCCCTGTGAGACAGATATACCATCTCATTTGCACAGCTCAGAGAAGAGGTGCAGGTTTGCCGAGGGTCGGAGCAGTCAGCAGCAGAGGTGGGAAACCACTCTAGATCCCAAACTTCACTTCAGCTCAATAATGCAAGGCTTTCAATGGGTGCCGTGACATGCTTGGCAACTTTGAAAGCTTGTAATTATCTCTCAGAACTGTGCCCTGACGTCTGGCATGCTGAAAACACAGAGAGTTGAACTTCTACCCATAGAAAGAACTTAATTCCCGCTTACACTTGGAAGGAAACACCATGAATTAGTCGTCGTTCTCACCTGAAATGATCACTCAGAAACATGATCCTCCGACATGGCAAACAGGAGAGAAAATTGGGAATTCAGCTGTCCTTACTTGGTTTTTAATAATAACACTAACTCCAGACAAAACAATACAAAGGTCCAGGAGGATCCTTTTTCTTTGCATTTTTAATTGCCCGTATCTTTTCCTCATGTAGGGGAAAGGTAAAACAGTCAAGCCTGCTGCAAGTCATGATGACAAGAGGAACTTAAATTTTGAAAGAAAGCCTGAAGGTTTTGTTTCCAACACTATCAGGAATGCTTAGATCCTAGGCAGGGCAAGATAGGCATTGATGAGACAAGTGTTTTTTTTCCAAAGCACAGTTTCGCTGATTTAAGAGCAGCTAATGTCTGGTACCTATTTGAAGCATTTTTCCACGTAGCCCTTCTCCAAATGCATGGCAATCGGACAATTTCCATGATGATTCTTATGTCTAAAAATACACACCTCCCCCTCTTTTCAATTCATCACTGAGCCAGTCAGCCTGTTTATTGTTGAAGTTTTGCCCATTTAATAGTGCACTTAGGAAAGCTTAATACAAACATCGACCAATTCATCGCTGTCACAGAAAGAAAAGCCTTAGAAATCATTCATCTAAGCGGGAGTCAAGAGCAAGAGCCTCTTATTTAGAGATCGGTCAATAAGAAACAATGTTATGGAAGCTATTCTAAACAGACCAGATATTTTTAATTTTTTTTTTAAACACCTCCTTTCTTCCACATATTGAAATCGAGGAGAATAGCAAACAAAATATTTGGTTTTGCTTCCAAAATTTGTTGGTGACCTTAAATCCCAGAAATGGGGCACTACAGAAGAGACAGGCTTTTGATATATTCAGCGTGTTGATTTGTGAACTAGTAGCAGATTGCTGTTTGCCTAAAAATACGTATTTGAAATTCTTTTCTAAAAATTCTTCTTGCTCTCTTCCCAGTTCATGAGCTGTTAAATGTCTGTGTGACACGGCGATGTTTGTCTCCTGAACAGAGGGACATTACGATCCCTAGAAGCAGGTTTCCAGCATGAATATTAAAGGCACTATTCAGGAATATTCTCCAGTATTCGCAGCCTTCACAAACACTCCCGCTCGCAAACATGTTTGCTGGAATATTTGTCAAGAGCAAACAAGATGGGATGGTGGGAGAAAATGTACAAAGTCTAACCAAGCTTATAAAAACCGAACAGCTAATGAATACTTGTGGAAAATGTCTTACGGTACCTCAGCTACGGATGTTAATTAGGAAAGCCTATAAAGCTAAAACTCTTTTGCTGCCTACCTCCTCTTGTCTTCTAGAATTGAAAGCCACTTCCATGACTCTCTTTATCATGTTCATCCCCGTCATATCTGCTGGATCCAGAAGTAGTTTTTAAAAACTTTTTGTGCGCATACCAAATGGGTGAGGTTATGAACAACTGGACAGAGGCCCAGAAACTCATTTCGCATAAGCATCTTGATGGCTAATAGCTTTTTATTGTCTCTGACTAAAAAAAGACCCACAACAGATAGGAATATATACATAGATTGGTCAATATGTCTTACTACCCAATATTGAAACACCACAGCGTTACGTAGTACAATGGGTCCTCTCTTCAGGCCCCTTTCTTCAATGACAAAACAGCCTTTGGGTTGAGTCATCTTCTATAAACAACCCATCAGGTACTCAAAGAAACACAGCAAACTCATGTTTCTACAGGACATTGGCTCAAAAGCACATGGCCAGGGAAAGGAAGAGAATTGCAAGGAAAGCAAGTGGACATCCTCAGGTCTACATGTCTGGGTGCTTGAGGGTGGTGAATTTTGGACACTGAGCCAAGGCAATAGCACGCAGCTGAGTAGGCGTTCATGTCTGAGAAAATCAGCTCTCACTAAGTGCAAACCCTACTTGAAAAAACAAGGCATTGAGATCCAGCATTTTTAGTTAACAACAACCAAAGGCAGCATTTGTGATGCATGGTAGCAGGACACAGCACAAGGTTTGACACTAACTTGCCCATTGAAAAACCTATCTGGACAAATAGTTTGCTCTTCTTCTCCCACAAGTTCTATTTTACAAACTCTGGACCAAATTCTGCTCTTAAAGGGAAACTCTAATTCTACTGCGGACTACTGTGAATCTCCTCTGTCACACTACTGGTGATAACACAAGATAGGTTAGTCTGTGGTCAGGGCCAGGCTGAATTTGTACTGGGGCTCCTCAAAATGCTCTTGCAATGTCAAGGCTCATCGTAAACTCTTGTAACTCACTACTATATCTGTTTTCCAGTAAAGCATGACAATTCCTTTTTCACCTGCCTAATACTGAGCTCCTCAGTATGTTTTCTGAGTGGGAGTTTGCTGAAAATGATCTTTGCTCTGCCGTGCATGCAACCGGCTAACACAGTAATGAGCTAGAGTCGTTCCCCTTTCTTTTAATAAAATGCAAATCCTAGTTCACCGAAAATAGGTTTTTATTTTGCAAATTCCACTTGTTAACTGAATACATCATTCCTCATGTTTCTCTCTCCTGGAAGGTAAGGGAAAGTGATAGACCATCCAGAATTTTTACAGACTGTCCCCTCCGGTCATGCATTGCTAGAGATGGTACTGTATAATGCATGACTTACCTGCAAAGACATTGGAGGAGTAATGAAATAAGCAGATGCTCCGTCAGCAGGCTTTTAAAACATTGGTATTGCAATCTGAGATGCAGTCAGCCATTACATGCATATGCCCTTTATTTATGGAGCTGATAAAGGCTCTATGTCAGGAGCAGTCAAGCTGCCTTTTTACTTTCTGCCTTTCCTCACGTTAAAGAAAGTTGCTGTCTGGTTGTTTTATTCTTATGCAAGCTCCAGATTTGGGAGGAAAAGCAGGGTTTACCTCCTGACTCATCTATTAAAAATAAAGGTCTAAAAAACAGACAACTTCATCCAAACAAATCACAAGGGACTCCCTATAGCGATTCCTCTCCTCCCAACACAGATGATGTCTGAAATAGGTGGATCTCACTGGAGTGATTTCTCTCCATTGACTAGAAAGTGAGCCCAAGACAACCAGCCTAGTTGTAGGCTTGAATACCACAGATGCCCACACCACCAGAGTTGCATGCATTCATTCATCTATAATTTCAATTTTGTATCATTTTCTATCATCAGTGTTGTTCTAGGTAATTTCATGACAGCATCAAACACATTTTCTCCCAAATTCCATTCCAAACACCAATGGTAGATAAGAAAAATGGCGAAGGCTGGCACAAATCAAAGGGAAGGATGGTGTTAACACTAACAGCCACCATGCGAAGAGCATTTTGCACTCTAAACAAAATACCGCTGCTCAGCTGCACGAGCAGCGAAGTTCTGAAGTCATTGAGTCGCACGGCTGTGGCTCAGGGGAAGATTTTTGTTCACGCTGAACGCTGTGTTTGATCACTGGTACATCACCCAAAGGTTCCCAGCAAAACAGATGAGGAGACACAGAAAAGCTCTTCTTCCTAACCCCGCAAAGGAAACTGCTGCTTGCTGACTGACAGTTCCCCAGCCAGCTTATGTGCATCTAATTACCGAGCTGCAACCCAAATCAAAATGCCCCGTTGCAGCTGGTGTCTCACTTAATCCATTCATAACACGAGCTAATTAGCATTGATGTTTTTGGGCAAGTTTATTCCAAATGTGGTCAAGTTCCAGGCTTTCAGCTTAGTTGCTAGGACCCATTGAGGATCCTGGGAGAGGCTGTGTTTCTGCCCAGAAGGCATTTTCTGGCTTGCTGACGGCTTAAGAGTGGCTTCAGGGGAAGATGCTGTGCTGGGCTGAGATGAACATTGGCATATAAGCACTGCTGCTAAACTGCTCTTGCTGCTACACCCTATCTCCATGAAGAAGATTTTGTAGTAGAATCAAGATATTTCATAGTTTTCCTCCTGTCTGAATGCAAATCTCCAGATTTGAGGAATGGGGAAAGAAAAAGAAAAGAAAAAACCAAACCAGTCTTGGAAAGTGGGAGAAGTTAAGGAATTATTCTCTATTTTATGTTACCCTTTGTGCACAGAGCTGAGAAAAGAGGCCAGTTATCAGAGCTTTGCACTTCCTTTTCAACCTATGGAATTAGAAGATGAGAGCAGGTGCTAACGGGAATTTTGCCCATGGCAGAAAATCAGGATCCTAAATCTTCATCGCTGGAAATCACGAAGCCCCCTAGCAATGATCTATAAAGGCTGCACTTGGAAATCTGTGATATAAGGAATTGCCACTTGGCAGAAAACCGACTTTCTGCTCCTTCGGCGCACCACAATTTCAGTTTAATTTGTAACAGGATGCAAGTGTAAATGAACTGACAATGGAGCTATCAGCTATTCTGTTGGTAATACTTGGAACAATAGTTTCGATTTGACTAGACACAGCTGTCCACTGCATGGAACGACCTTTAGCCCCGTCCTTGGCGAAATTCAATTCTCTCCATGTCTGACTTCGTCCACGGGGACTTGAGTAGCAGAGCTGCCAGAATAATCAGTGCATTGCTTAATAACAGGCACTCCAACGAGCAACGTGGTTGTGTATTGTCAGAAATGGAGCCCACAGCTCCAGGGAAGGGAAGGGGGAGCCTCCTTGTTATTCAAAAGGAAATAAAGCAGTTGTACAGGAGCAAATGTGGATGCATGTGGCCGCCTTTGCTTGATGAGCGTCAGCAATGTGCTCGGCACCGCGTGCGTATATGTAAACACAGAATTTTCTTGTGCGTTTGTCAGTAAACATGCATTTTTATTAGATTCGCCTTTCAAAAAAAGGGCTGGGATTCTGCTGCTGCTTTGCATTGTACCACTGTGAAATGTAATTTCTATTTATATAAGTCTAAATGTGCGTACCTCCCATATGGTGATGCTTACATGGCCATCCAGATGCATATAGTCTAACATGTGTATACATATGTATAGATACACACACTTTTGGCGTGTTTACTACATCAGTCCTTGCAATAAGAAAGGTGTTTAGACTGCAAGCATCAAAAAAACAGGAATTCCCCAATTTTACAGCTACTTGTGCAAACTTATTTCTGTTTGAGTGGGTGTCTCTCCAGAAGCGTGACCATGGCACTCTCTTACACATGAAAGGAAAGGCATGTCACCACAGGATTAATACGTACGTCCTCCAGCCCACACCATGGCTGGACCCACAAGGATGAATCCAGCACTTCCTAATTTTTTAGCTGGTTGATTCAGCAGCCTGAACACAGAAAACAGAAATCATGTTGGGTTCGTAAGTGGACCCATCCTTTCCATCATCAAGGACCATCAGAGATATGCACTGCTTTGGCTGGCAAGACTTACTACAAGCATTGCTAGTGGGAGATTGCAAGGGGTGAGACACCAGCTCCACCTGCCCCACGAGCTCCTGGGGATTTCTCTCTTTACTATTTTTGCTTTGGCAACACTGTGGGCCCGTCTCTGTGGAAGATTCGTGTTCAGTTATTATTCTGACTGGCTGCCAACATTTTCCTGAGAAACACAAGTGAGAAATGGGGAACGGCGATCTTGCACAGCTCATAACTCAGCCAGAACGGAGGGGAGTTTCATGGGAGAAGGGAAAGGCATGTCTTCGGCTGCAGAGCTTTTGTCCCTGCCAAAATTCAAAGGCTCTTTGTCAAACAATAGAGATATTACAGCTTATTTTTAAAAAACCACAAAAATAAAGAGGCCATGAGAACCTTTGACAATGGAAAATCTTAGGAACATAAAACCGCATGTCTTTGTAGACAAGAAAATAAGGTGGTCTCCAAAATTCTGTGAAATCATATTATAGTGGGGCATGTTAAATAAGTCAAATATAGGAGTCACTGCCTCTACCCTGTTACACACACTCTACTAACTGCTTCTGTTATTTTTTCAGGAAAGGCAGAAATTACACAGACCCTCAATGTTTCTCCTCAAGTTCATGCAACGGCTTTGTGCAGATGTGGCTGTGCACAACCATGAGGCTTCTCCTTCCCATCCCTGTTTGCTCCTTCCTGGCTCTCTCCTTGACCTTCCCTGTCACCATCCCCAGCATACCAACAATTTTTCACCAGCTCCTTCACTGGCCCTTAATGGTCAGGTCCTCTCTCGCACTTGCCTTGTGCTAATGGGTTCGCTGCCTTCGTTGCTGACACTCATACTCTCCTTTCGTGCTTTTCTTCTACTTCTGTCACTCTATTTTTCATTTTTTCACCTGTGACTTTTGATGGCTCCATATACCTGCAGAAACATGTACAGCTAACACATGTTTTTTATTCTCTCTCTTCTCTCCAAATACCTGAATAATTCAGAAGCCAATATTTTAGGATGGCTGCACAGTAGCAACAGTAGAATAGTATCACCTCTTCAACTAGTTCAGAAGAATATAACACCTTGCTAGGAAATTGTATGAAGCATCACAAGAGTGTGTCGTGCAAAGAGAAGCTCAGTGTAACTTTTCTGCATGCTTGGCAGAGATGTTATTCCAGTTCTGGAGTACATACTGCTTTTTGTTATCTTAAAACCAGGTATTATTGGTTCAAAGTCCTCAATTAGTAACATAGAAATGAGACAGACTGAGACATCCATATGATATCCACCCTGGTTCCAGCAAGCAGATGACATGCATACAACTGAAAATACGTGCTTTCTTCTATATATATGCAAAATTTTAATTTCCTCATTTGATAACCACTCTTTTTTCCCTCTTCAACTAAACTCAAACAGGCAAGGTAGAAGGTAGACAAAAGTTGCAAAATAAATGTCAGAGGTACATAAATCAAACTCCTTATGAACTGTCCTTCTCTTTTTGTTCTCCACTATCAAGTCCATTTATGAAGCTTGAAATATGGTATCTCTGTAGGTCCTACTAAAACAACATGTTATAGAACAAATAGAAAGTCCCTCAGCAATGCAGAAGATATATTTTCTACAGCCCTGAGAACGAGAATATTAAACTGATTCTTAGATAAATAAGCCCTTCCCAGAATAGGTTATTGGAACAAGCAATGTAACACTAAAATTGGAAGGTATTTACCATCACACTGAGATGTACGGGCGTTCCCTAAGTCTCCTGACAATCTCAGTGGCTTAGAAACCCTCCTGGAAAGTCCACAATGTGCCACATGTGCATATCAGAAAAGAATTACTAATAATGTAATACATGTAAGACTCCAGAAATTGGGTTAAGTAGGCAGATATTGCTGCCCCCATCTCTACCGCAGAGGTAGTATGAAAGGAAAATAATGCTACTGATCTTAATAAATAGATAGATAGATAGATAACAGGGAAAGGATGAATCACAGTCACAGTAAGAGCAGAGAAAGAAGATGATGACATGACATGGTCAACTCTGCTCCTCTCCAGCCACCCACTTTCAACAGAGGTGATCTCCACCATCTTCCAGTTCCTTAAACTTTGACTTAAACTCAACAGTTATGGAAAGGATTTGAGGCCACGGTGGTAGTTGTACTCCCTGGGGTAAAGTAGAGAACAGGAGGAAGCCAGTGTACTTTCCAGTTCTTCGTGTTTGCCAAAAGCCCACACCTCCAGCTACCATCTTTCAGAAATGCCTCTCCTATCCTTGAGAGCTGGAAACCTGCACTCATTTACGCACAAACAGGGAACTCTGCCAGCAGCCTC